AAACTGAGGTTAGTGTTTAGTTTTGACGTTCTAAAACAAATTGAGACGATAATAGTACTTTTTTGTACGGCTCCATATACTCACGTGCATCACGTCGACCACCACTACTTTGCCGGCGCATGAATAACCTGCATGTCACAGTGTATATCTAATTAACTGAAAAACTCATTAATAATTCAGGAAGAAAACACAAAGAAAAGTCATAAGCGTGTCGTATCTTTATATGTGATAAAAAATCATATTAATTTACATAAACCAAAGTTTATTTTCTCGGTTTAGACAAAGTTTATAAGATGAGTCGTTTTTTAAGCCATTTAAAGCACTTGTAGTCGTGTTTTATCAGATATAAAACGCTCGGCTGCGCCTCGCGTTTTATACTGATAAAACACTCCTACGCGTGCTTTAAATAGTACATAAACGGTCGAATATTTTCGGCGTATAAATAGCGTACTCGTCGCCTCGAAGAGGGTATAGTAAATGTGATTAGTATGAAATACACTCTCCTTGGTTCCGTGGGGATTGCAAGATAGCTCTAATGGGAACTAGAAATTTACAAGAAATCATGAGCACTGTTCTACAGTATAATCACGATCATTAACGAGGTTATAATAATCATTAGTATAATTACATAGGTGATTATTGAAAATTCCCCACGCTGATTGGTTGCTATTGAGGCCGGTGATTATAACGCGATAATCACCCAAGCGATTTTCGAAATGGCGGCCTAAGCCGTTTTGTCAATGACGAAGAAAATTTTGTTAAATGACGAAGAAATGTGTATTTTTTATTTTTTTCCAAATAATCACCTATGAAATTATACTAAAACAATTATTCACCCATGCGGTGATTATCGTGAATAAAAACCTCGACTTCGTCTCGGTATCACCTGATAATCACCTCGATAATCACCTCACCTTCGGCGAATAATTGTTAATTAATAATCATTCAGTATCAAGAAAAAAGTATCCAGTTCCATGAAAATATCAGTGCGACAAATGTCGCAATTTCCCACCCTTGGGCCTATCTAAAATCTCTGATTGGCTAATTTAAAAACTTGTCACGTTTGAAGTGTGTTGAGATTGGTTGTATGTATAGGGCCTGGATAGGATAAGACAGGATACTAGGAAAACCTAGTTTATTTTAACAGGGTAATCGAATTAGTTATTATATATAATTACAATATAATTAGCCACATTAGCTGGTATCAACTGGAGCATGATTAATATAAAATACAATTTACTTGCCACTTGGTGATTCTAAACGGATCAATGGCAAATGTAAGGCAGAGGCGTAGCCAGGGCTGGGGCCGGCCCCCCCCCCCTGGCAAAATTTTGGCCCCCCCATGGCAAAATTTTGGGGCCCCTCTGAGGCTCTGATAAAATGTATTGTACTAGTAAGGGTACTGTACCTGCAAGGTAGGGATTGCTGTGGGCATCAAGAGCAAATAGAACTAAAAATAGTACAAATTACATAAAGCATGCAGTTATTACTCGCAGAGAGCTGGCAACTTGTGAGCACTGTGATCGGAGCTTAAGGAATATGGAATCGATTCACGCCATGAGTGTCTGAGAAAAAGAAATGCATTTGTTGCCAAGACCATGCACGGGTTCAAGAGCAATCACAGATTACAGATAGGCATGTTAATGTTTATGGAAGTAATTAATATTCACTAAATCATAAGCAAGAATATATAATATTTTCAAGATCAAATGGAATTTGTTGAATCTAATACGCGCTGTTCTTAGTAGTACGCGTATAAATACAAACGACAAAGCATTCTTAAGACGTACGGGTAAATTATATAACACAAGTTTTTGCTATCTGATTTCATATAATTAAGTCTAATACTGCTGGAATAAGACGCATTTTATACCACATTGTATATACAGTATTAAACTAAGAAACCAAAACCTTATAATAAATTAAAATATAGAAGCTACAGTGGTCAAAGTCCATTGAGTGAACAACGCACGAAGTGCAGTCACGTGAGGCTGAGCATGATATCAAGAATTATTCAGACCGAGGTCAATGTTATCTGCCTAAGCGAAGCTGAGGCGGATAACATAGACCGAGGTCTGAATAATTCTTGATATCATGCGAAAGCCGAATCCAATAATTGTTTTATTATACATTTAAAGACATGAGAAACGTATAAAACGATTCCTGTTCATGAGGTAGGAAAAGTACAATTTGAATATCAAACACCTTGCACAAAGTCAAAGGTCAGTTAAATATTCTATTTCTACTTCTATTTACCCCTTTGTGGCTTTTTTCGTGCTTTCACTATCCTTATCTGCCAATAATTTGGAGAGTTCACTTTCATTCAGCAAAGCAAATCTGCTGTAGGCCATTGTTTGTTTTTTTTTTCGCGCGCTTATAGGTTCAAGCCTTTGGCCGCGCAAGGGCTTGGGCACGGGAGAGTCCAATAATATTTTTTTTGGATGCAAGTTCGATCCAAAAAAACAATTATTGGACGCTGATGACGTCTCGGCGGAAAATACGTAATAAATGCCGAATACTGAATATTAGCCTGTGCTTTTTGACCAATTAGAAACGAGAATACATATTAAATGTATAATAAAGTAAATTATGGCATTTACAGGGCTTAAAACTTTACTAAATCTTACGCTGACTGGGTGCCTGAGTCAAAATAATTTAAAAGTCGAAGCAAGCAAAACAATTAACGAGGTGAGGTGATTATCGAGGGATATTCGCCGAGAGTAAGTCGAGGTGAATATTCCCCGCGATAATCACCAAGCCTGAGGCGAATAATTGTTTTAGCATTTTTGCACAAGTTTTTTTTTTGTGTTTTTCTTGTCTGAATTCATTTTAATTTCGCTTATTTCTTTATCACTAACTTCAACAAAACGGCTAGCCGCCATTTTGAAAATTTCGATTTTGTTATATTCACCTGTAGGTGAATATACTGACAGATTAATACGTCAAATTTGACCAATCATCTTGTAGGATTTGTTATGTTCACTTGTGCAAAAATACTAATAAACGATATCCTTCAAATACTCCTCAAATATTGTAAGTCGTACGTTATTTTGTGTTCTGCCATAGCAAGCGCACACGACCACAATCCAATGCGCTAATAAAATTTACTTCAAAACCCCCACTCTGCACATATTAGAATGCTGCTTCGCTCGCTCGCTTCAGGCTCGCTCGCTACGCAGCAATAAAAAGGGAATCCTTGATTATATAACTTCAAGTTGAGACCCGTCGGAAAATTGTCAATGTTGTCGGAATCTTTGTGATGAAGCATGAAAAAGTGATACGGAAATCGGGAAAAGTGCTACGAAAGCAATTTTGATGTCCGGAAAGTTTTTCTTGCCAAAAAAGGTGTCGACGGGGGGGTCGGAGAGATTTAAAAAGTGGTCCGGAAAAGTTTTTTGGCCCCGCCTGGGTTTTTGCTGGTTCCCCCTGACCAAAAATCCTGGCTACGCCTCTGATGTAAGGTTGCTTTGTCCACTTTCCCGAGACACTATGTGATGATTAAAAGTAAAGTAATTTCGTAGAAAAAGCAAAAGTGAGTTTGCAGTTATTACTTAGCGATTTGTCAACAAGTTATTAATATGAGGGTTTTACGCCTTGCCTGGGGCGCCGGAAGCAATGTGAAGCGGCGGGGGCAGCCATTTTAAAAGAGCACTTGCTTCTCAGCCAGCTAGCCGTAATTTTTCTGGGCAGCAATATTTGTTAAAACTTTACCGCTGTATATGGATACAGGAACTCGATTACTTCTGGCTATTATGGGTCGCAAACTTCGACGTTAATTAATTTGAACAATTTTATTCATTGCACCGTGCTAAAAGCGAAAAATGAAATCAGTAAACGGACGTATATTTCTTGGTTTAGCATCTGGGAGTAGGAACCGGGGTGGGGGGGGGGAGTTCCCCCCACGTTTTCAGAAAACCTAAAAGGTGCCATTTTTCCCGTGGTGATGTGCCCTTTGCCTTCGTAAAAATATTTGTTCAGATTGCATTTTTGACTCACGGATGTTGCAAAGCAGCCGCTTGAGTGTGGGGCAGTTAATTAAACAATGAGAAATGACTAGTATGCTCGGCGCGCACTCTTTGCCTGCGATCGGGCCTTTCAGAACCGGAAATCGGGCTGTAGCACGACAAATGACAAAATTTTTACGATGCTTGTTTGCAAAAGCAACTGCAAACTGCTTTAATTCTTTCTGTCACTTTCATTTGATTTCATCCATGAGTCCGCTTCAACGGCCTTCGATTTCAATATGATTGCATTTTTAAACAACATTTTTAGGAGCCCTTTTCATTCCAAAAGTGCCCCTCGAAATCGGTGCCCCCCAACTTTTTGATGTTTCCTACGCCCCTGTAAACAGCATTAATTTTACTACAATTGGTTAATTGGTTAGATATGCTGTACAGTCCGATCTGCGTATGGACACAAGGGAGCCTTCTTTTTATTATACAAACCGGCAGTTTATTTAGGTTTTTATTTTATTTTATCTCCTTGCAAAGCTTGATTGCTGTGTCTTGATATTCATTATACTCTACAATCATGAAAATATAAATATTTGTCGAATAAAATTTTATATTTTCGATACCGAAATGTAAACAAATCCTTTGTTTACATACGGACTGTATCGCATTTTTCAACATTGCTTAAAATAGTTCTAAACTCCAATTCCTGTGAATAACGCACAAATTTCGAGATGCAGTTCTGGCAAAAAGGGCAACCTGTTGCCCCCGTGCTGCCCCCGCAATGTTTGGGCAGCGGGGGCAGTTGCCCCCGCTGCCCCCGTGGCTCCGGCGCCCCTGCGCCTTGCGGGTAAAGTCGACCAACCCAAGTTGTTAACGTAACGTTGATTGCGTATAATCGGTACTGTATCTGAAGATTTCACTCTAGCTTTATGTACTATTTAAAACATGAGCAGCAGTGCGAATGTTTTAAATTGCTTCAAAAACGATCGATATAGTAAGTTCATTGGCGAAGTAATTTTCACAAAATACGTTGTGTAAGTCGAGAAAATCAAAGTTAAGTTTATCTAAATCAAGGGAAATCTCTATCACATATAAACATACGACACGCTTATGATTTTTCTTTGGGTTTTCCTCCTGAATTATTAATGGTTTTGAATATAATTTTCACAATTCAAACGATTCGGAAAAATGAAGAAGTGAGCTAAGATAGAAAACTCCTTAATTAGCTTCTCTTTTTCTTGAAAGAGCAATCATTAATAAATTGACAACTATATCTAGAAGCAGTAATAGCTGTTGGTTTTAAAATAACACGGACCTTTCTCGCGCCTTTAAATTTTGCCATTCGTCTCCGACGCGGCTCGTCGGCGTCCATCGGCGATCGATATAGGAGAACTAACTATTAACTATATTTATCTTGGTATTTAGGTGCCGACAAAATTTACACCAGTTGTGGCTGACTTGATGAAACTGGACGAGGCAGTAAAAGCTATTGAGGCAATGAGAGCATATAGATTTGTTGGTAAACAACGCTGGACTGGTTGTTTTGAAGGAAACGATTGATGTCACTGAGGAAGATATTGACCGGTACATTATCCTAATAGTGAATCTCTGAGCAAAATAGGAAAAATTGTCGCGGAAACGTTCGAAAATTTTGATGTCTCTTCGATTGTTTTTTCGTTTCCCAGATATACATTCTGCTTCCCAGGTAGAATGCTTGAAAACAAGTCAAAACTGTTTTTTCGTTTCTCAAGTGTGATTTTTGTTGTGGATATAATGTTTCATGTTTTTCTCACCTTTCAACATGACAATAAAAAGCATTAAACCATGTTTCCGCATGCAATAAACATCAGATAATACACGCTTCCGGAAAGTATGTCACCTTGGCTATCGAGCCTCGTTTCCGTGATTGAAACGTTAGCTTTAACTTATGTCACATAAACGAAAACGAGGCTCTATAGCAAAGGGACGTACTTTCCGGAAGGGTGTATTGTGCAACTATAATTATTATAAAGTATTGTTGGATATTCGAATTTAACGATTTTTACTTTAGTACCAAATTAAACAGAAACATTTGATAATTTACTCTGTGTCTTCAGAGAGTAAGAGTTTATGTCTTTGTAATTGTATCCATTTCATAAATAATATGTGGATCAATTGGATAAATTCTATTACATTATAAGGTTTATGAAATATGGAATGAAATGTGCACAGCTCCGTCCTAATTATATAATTGGTAATTGACAAAAGATTATTGAAGTCTGGGACCTCTGAGCTTGAACATTGTAACAGTTGGTTGCACCATTTTCAGCTTGATATCTATTATTTTCTTAATCTTAATTTTCGGATCATTATTAGGCAACACTAAATGTTTCTTGTACTTTTAAAGGTCCATGATTATCAACGTAAAAGCTCCTATACGTTTAAGTCAGGTAAGACTGTATTGAAGTTGTCCAATTTATTCATTTATACAATATACACTTAAAACCTTTCTGTGCATTCATTCTGAAGCTTCAACGCCGTGCATTATTTATATACAAAACTGTGAGTTCGTGGACAAAACCTTCTGGGCAGTAGAACATCTAACACCCCTGCGCCCCCTTAACAATATTGTGTTATATGGTAGTGTATCATATCGTAAATGGACAGTGTAATACAATACGTTCTCAATGAAAACATGTCATACAGCAACATTACATAGGAGGGATCGGAGGGAAGTATATTTTGGTTCTTTATGAATCTTAGTTTTTCAACAATTGAATTTTTCAATTGGCAATGTTTTTCAAATTGCCCGAAAATGGTTTGTCAATGACTGTAGACAGTTATATCATCAATAACCAAGACAGTACCATTGAGTCAATCAGTTTCCATTGAGGGCAATACGGAACGGCGAAGTGCAACGGCCTGTAACTATATAGCCTGCCCTAACCTGTATTTCAATATTTGCTCAATACTTGTTTTAGCCAGTGATTTTTTGTAGCTTCTTCAAATTAATACAATAAATCATGATCGTTTGTTAACTTTTCTCTGTTTATATATAGTTAGTTGCTCGTGATTTAATTAAAAGAGGAACGGGTGGAGCAATCGTGAATGTTTCCACAGTTTTGACACAGATTGCACCTGCTTGTCAAATACCTTATAGTGAGTATACTTCGTCTTGTGGCCGGTTTTGCCGCACATTAATTGTTATTTTACCTGTGAAAGTAAATGAAAAATAATATGTTTTATCTCTTCATTTATAGCTATGACAAAAGCTGCGATGGATAATGCGACAATGGCGATGGCAGTAGAATTGGCTAAGCACAAGGTTTGTTTCAAATAGTGGTTATAGTTAGGTTTGTGTACAGCCATGGACTTGTACATGTATAGTACTTACAGCCCTAGAACCACTTTGCAGTAGCCAGTGACAGCTGGCACAATACAATTTTTGAAGACGCATTATCATACCGCCATCTTGGATTGTTGTGGATGCAGGACCATCCCGAGCGGTATCTGGTTGGGGGGGGGGGGGGAGGAAGGTCGGCAGGGTTTCTTCCGAAAACAGAACATCCCAAAAAATTTTCCAAACACTAGTTTCAGTTAATGGGGGCCTAAAATTGGCTAAAATACTTTTTCAGACCTTTTTCGACCACAATTTTTCAGAAAATTCCTTACTATTTAACACGTTCCGCAATTCCAACATTCCAGGACCCCTAGCTCTGGGCAAGTTGGTCCCCCTTTTCTGACTTTTCTTTGGGGGGATGTTACACCCCCCCCCCAGTAGTTCCGGCCATGTGTGGATGTGCATGATTACGTCACAGCGTAAAGGGTTACACAAATATAAATGGTCATACTTCGATCATTATTTCAAATAATAGATTAACCCGATATGTGATCCAGCAGTGAAGATGAATAACGACAAATTTATGTCGGAAATTGTCCCATCGATGTCCAGCCACTGATAAGTTGCGCGGAATATTAGTCATTGAAGTCAGAAAATCCCCGTACTAACATTATAAACGGCGAAAATAAACCAAAATAGAATAATCACCGTAATACTATATACTTTCTCCAACACCTAGATCCGGGTAAACAGCGTGTTACCAGGTTTAGTTGATACACCACACGCTAGTCAGTATCCACCAGAAATTGTACAAATGGTTCTCAAGAGATATCCACGTGGTCAAAGAGCAGGTATAAGCTAACAGACGTATTGTGGGCATTTAAGCTGTGCTTTACCGCCACTTGGAATTAAACTTTACCAGGACGTACTTGGAGAAAATTGGGAGCTGCAATTTAATATGTGTTGTACGTATGAGTCTAGCTAACTGGGAAACTCACTTGAGAAAAGATTCACATCTCCTTACACCTCGCACTACATGTGAAACCATACATGCATGATCAAATGCAACAAGAGCTTCAAAGTGTGTCAGGTCGTTGTGCTGCGAAGAAAAGTGGCGACGCAAATAGTTTTTTTTATAATTTTTACATTTACTTGTTAACATTTACTTGTTAACTATTCCAGTTTTACATTTTCAAATGTTAAATTGAGATACAATTTTGTATATTGAGGTTTTTATATGGTTCGAAATGGTTTCGTCTGATATAAAAACATTTTTTGTATTTTTTGCCTTCCCGCAGGAAGCATGTAAAGTATAAACTATTCTAGCACATACTATTGCTATAAGAAAAAATCATATATATTATGTGTATATATATGTAAAAGGTTCCTGAGAGAAAGCAAGTGAGCAAAACTTCTTCCTCAAATTGGCCCGCGCGAGCGAATTTTGAGAGATATATGATTGGCTTAAAAGTATCAATCTTTTAAAGATTTAAATAATTATAAGTCGTTCTAATCGACTGATATATTTCAATCGAATGGCAAACTGACTGAGCGTTTTTCAATCTAATTTCAATCTATTCGATTGAATTTTTTTTTCAAACTTTTGAAAGATTGAAATTTTCAATCTTTTGAATTAAGAGAGTAGCTGGTGTAATCTCAGTCACGTAGGAAAAAAATTCCATTTGAATGCTTCATCCCACCTGACCGAGATTGTTCATTTGCCGATTTTTACCTAAAAATATAAACAAGCAAAATAAACAATAAACCTAAACATGCATGCAGATACCACTTAAGTCGTAACTCGTAATACCATGCACTACACATTCCCCACAAAAACATTTCGAAGTCAACCGAGGCGAGATATTAGATGGGACAACCAGCCCTATTTGAAACAGCTCTCAAGAAGTCAACTGACTCATTAGAACATGTCCTGAGACCACCTCCACACGAGACCTGACAAATTGGGAACAGTACACAAATTAGTCCAGTTCCATTTATTCAGACGGGAATTCATACGACGGTATATGCATGTGCTCGAATTCATCAGGTTTCTCGTGTGAACTCGAAAGCCGAAATCCGGCAAATTTGATTACGGCCCTGAACAGTGCTATGCAAGTTACATAATTTTTATATTTTTATATTTTTATAACTATAGTTACGGTTACAGTAGTTACAGTTATAAGTTACAAACATTTTGCAACTGTTAGTTATACTGGTTACAAAATTATACGAAAGGTTATAATATAAAATAGCTGCGATAAAGATCGCTTCCGCCATCTACTGCAACGGCATAATGAAAATATTCGAACCCGTGGGTGCAAAATTGAGCGACAACTCTGCGTGGCCGAAATTTGGGATAAAACTGCTTTTCAGTAAGTTGGATATCGTCAAAGTAACTGCTCTCTCGAGACCAGAACCTAACCATTTACCGATACTTTTTATCAATCTTTGTAACTAGTTACCGTTAGAGTTACTAAAAAATGTAACGATTACATGTAACTAGTTACTTGTAGCACTGGTCCCGAATTAATCCGACGAAGCCTTATGCAACAGAATATCAATACCGCAATTTCTCCTAGGCTAAAGCCATGAGACCCCTTGTACTAGTAGTGTTAGTTACGATTTAGTGCGGATTGGTTATTTCCATTGCCATTTCATTGTTTTGTCATCCTATCTTTCCACCTGTTGTTCGGACTCATTTTAGATATTCTGCAAAATTCAGTATTGAACTGCAGTTGTTAACTATTTTTTAAAAACTTCTTAAGTTCGCCTTTTTTACATTTCAGGTGCTGATGAAATTGCCGACACCATTGTGTATTTATTGAGCGATAGAGCGAGTAACATAACTGGCACAAAGATTACCACTGATGGCGGAATGTTGGCAAACTGAAGACATTCATTCTATGTTACGACAATATTTCTTTGACTTGACCTTATTTTGTAGACCTTTTCAAATATTAAAGTCTTATATCGCTTCGCAATTTAGCATTATATGTATATAGAGAAAAAGTTTGAGCGATGAAATTGCGGCAACAAAAGACTAAAAAGAATCTGTTACCGCGGGCGGTGGCTTGCTGGCGTAGGAAACTACTTGAACTTGAAAGCGGGGAGGCTTAAGGCTAGAGCACGTATATTGTTGTTTTTATTGAGAAATAGCAGTCTTCCCGCCAGTACCGGGTGGCCGAGAAGTGACTTCCAAGCTTCTGAGTTTCCGAGATGAAGAATTGAGCGCCATCTGTAGAACGAAGATTCCTTTAGAGTTTATTAATTTTCGTTAAGGTTTTCGTACAATATGATTATTGTAAAGCTCTTGTTTTGTAAGACTGGGCCAAGTGAACTCTGGAGAAACCATGGCGCTTCTCACGCACTAGGCGTAAGATTGCCAAAAACCTGTTCCGCCACCACTATCACCTGGATACCACAAATCTGCTTGTCTGTTTTCTGGTTTTCTAGGACCTAGGTGGCCGGAAATTGCAATATGGAGGGGCCATCACTCAATATAGAGACCATGGCTCTAACCCCTCTCATTACAAATGAAACAATCTTTGCGAATCATTGCAAACGATCAAAGCATATCCGGTTCTTTTGCCTTATATTATCCTGACTGTTGTGAAAACTTTTAATATTTTTTGAAAGCCATTTGACAACAACATTTGGGACGTGCACGTTTTCATTTTGTCATCAGAATTCAGAAAACAATGGGAGACAGGCGAATGTAAGGTCAAGTCTCAAGGTTATACACAGTTGATTCAGCTTTGGGGGTCTTCCTGACGCAATCTTCCTAATCCACTCATCGCAAACCAACTCCACTGCGAGTGCCTGTATCTAATTAAACTATATTTGCTAAGAATATCCCCTACAATTATCGAAAAATAGTCGGTAAACAGATATTAGGAAGCTATATGACATGGCCCTAAACCCTCGTAAAACAATCTTTGTAAATCTTTGTAAACGATCAACAATTCACAACCCATCTGGTTCTTTTGCCTTATATATATCCTGACTATGAAAACTTTTAATATTTTATTGAAAGCCATTTGACTGAAAGCAACATTTGGGACGTGCACATTTCCATTTTGTTGCATGACCTGTCTGCAAATGTTTTCTAATAAGGTCAGCTAATTGAGAGTCTTCCTGACGCAATATCCGAATAAATCAGTCAAATTGACTGGTTGTCAAGCGACGTATCTGTCCAGTCGTATTCAGAAATTTTCGTGCCCATTTCCAAGAAAAATACTTCTGGTAATCTTATTAAACTATATCAGGTTTTTAAATCGTTAATCATTGAATAATCGTGATTTTGTGCATGTGGGCATGCTTTTTTCAGCCAATGCTCCACTTCAATGCCCTTGTAAAGTCGTCAAGCAGGGTCACCAGGATAATACTATATTTAAGCCCCATTCAAACAGAGGGTGACTGCCAATTCTCGTCAATTCTCATTCTCGTTTCACCGGGGCTCAGACAAACAAACCGAAATTGAATGTCGGAGAGGTCGTATAAAGAGCCATTTTTTATTGTTCGGTATGCAAGAATAAAAAAAAAACATTGTGCGCTTCGCTATATATTGTCTATTAAAAGATGATTGTGTCCCACGAAGGTCATATTCCCCATGTTTCGTGCATGTATTTTTCTCTTTCATCTTGAGCCCAATCAGAAGCCTATCCTTTAACCTATTGCACACGAAACACAAGGGAATAACACACATGACAACAAGGCCATTGGGCAAAGTGCAATGAACCGTACAGTCTATTGTGCTCTATTTTGGTTAGAATATGCTGGGCATGTTTACTATACTGACAGAACAGCCTAGTCCCAGTCGTTCTGAAGCAAGCGCGAGAAAAAAGTGGATGTAGTACGAGACTGGGACCTAGGTGTGACGTCACCGCTCAAGGTGCTTCAGAACATAGATATAGGAGATCTAGATTGCTAACGCATACCTAGCGCAGGCGGGGCCTACATGATAAATTCAAGATGGCGGTACAAGAGGGCAAAAAGACTATAGATTCTATTACGAAAATCAAGATTTTTGCATTTTTTGCCGTCGCATTGTTTTGAAACTTATTCGGTCAAATTTTATGGTAAAGAGAAACGTACCGCGAAGATTTAGAGCATATATATGATTGAATTGGATGAAAACTCGCAAAATTATCCAGCGATAAAAGTTCGTGTGAAATGGTCAGTTGGTTAGTTGGAACGTTTTATTGCCAGAAATACTGTGCTATGTTAACATCTAGTCTTGTGAATGGTGTTTTATACTTGCATCTTTCATCATCATCTGCTCTGTCCTCATAATTATGAAATATGAACTGTTATGTACCCCCCCCCCCCTTGCTTGTTAGAGAAGTAAACTGATGAGAGCACTGGATAAGGGTCTATCATCTATGGTCTGTTATAATTTGCTTTATATGCAAATAGTGAGCAAAAATTAAAGCAAAACTGTACAAGTTACATATATAGTACTATATCAGTACTATACACGAACTTTTATCGCTGGATAATTTTGCGAGTTTTCATCCAATTCAATCATAAATATGCTCAAAATCTTCGCGGTAAGTTTCTCTTTACCATACAATTTGACCGAATAAGTTTCAAAACAATGCGACGGCAAAAAATGCAAAAATATTGATTTTCGTAATAGAATCTATAGTCTTTTTGCCCTCTTGTACCGCCATCTTGGATTTATCATGTAGGCCCCGCCTGCGCTAGGTATGCGTTAGCAATCTAGATCTCCTATATCTATGCTTCAGAACGCCTAGCAGATTTCAGTATTTTTAATATGGCGGAAAAGTTATATATATATATATATGCAAGTAACCTTTTAATTATAAATACGACAATGTTCGTTCATCATGTACGTGTTCGATGTCTACATAACCAAATCAAACTGTATTAAAAATGTGCTCAACTAAAAAAATTTATATACAAATTTACGATATCAAGTTTGAGCAATCGTTGATGTTATTTATGTACTCGCAAGTTGTGATCAACACTAGACCATACTGGTATACACAACTACGCTTTCTACTTGACAGGTTTAAATTGCTGAGGAGATTGGAAATATTTGCCTGACATGACGGTGTTGTCAAAACATTCTTCAAGCTTCTAGATAGCATTTAATATGGCTATATATTTTAGTAAACACGAGTCATTTTAAGCCCGTTATTCCATTCTGACCGTATGGCAGCGAAACGTAGCCTACTTCATTGTTCCGACAGCATTAAAGCAAAACTAATGACTTAATTATAAATGCAAAGGAATTTCCATAACATTTTCCATTTACAAATGAGGTATGCTTGGTAACCAGGCCAGGGACCAATTTTTTGAAATCAGGAACCATTTTACCGATATCTGCTAGGCTGTCTCGCTGAAGCGTTCCGCACAGTACACCCAGGCATAAAACTTTTAAGACTTATTTAAATATATCAAAGCAGCGAATAGAGAGAGAGAGCCTGGGACTAGGCTGCAAACAACCTTGATCGTCGAGTAGCAATAATGAATGACTTTAACAAGGCTTAAGGCGGAGGCGACCAATTTTAATCACGTGAAAATCAGTCTGCGAGCATTCAGGCGTACAAAAAATGCACACGTTAGGCAACTACAGAGAGAGTTGAGTAATGTTGAGTAAAGCGACTGCAATGGAAAATGGCCTTTATTTAGTCTTAGACATCTCAAAGACTTCAAACGTTTCAAAGTTGGCATGTTTATGAGCCTTCAAATGATGTAAATAACGTACGTAGCACTTCAACAACAACGGCATACTGGAATGTTCCAAGTGAATACAATTTATAATCGCTTTTGTCTTGGGGGTAAAACTCTTTTGTGAATGACCACGTCTTCATTGACGTTGCCGTTGTAACGCCCACGGGCAATGCCACCGTAGTACTGGTACTTAAACTCGAGCGAAGCCGAAGGCGTTGAAATTGATTGTATATTTATTTTTTTAAGAACAGTTAATAGTCTGTGCAAGCTAGAAGGCGAACACCAAGTTATATGCAGCCAAGATGGAAATTGACTTCACAGGAAAAACAGCGCTGGTAACTGGGGCTGGAAAAGGTAAAAGTAGCTTGACTTAACAGACTTATTTACCTTTGTGTGTGGACTGCAACAACAATAGTAGACTTCATACGAAGGGCCTTCGCTCGAAACATCGAAGTTTTGCTTATATTTTTCAGGTAGTTGTATATCTTTCACACCAAAGTCCCGATAATGAGAGTACAGACTACAGTTTACGAGAGTTGGCAGTCACGCGGAATTGTTACACGTAAAGGAAATTTCAAGCTCAAGATTGTGTTTGTTTCTATGCAGAGATATTTGGACACGTAGAGCACTAGAGGCATAACAGATATATAAATAAGAAATGCAACTAAAAACAATTTTAACACATTTTAAAAGAATTTGTCGGAATAATTTAGAATAAAACGGAATACTCTAGTCTCTAGTTTCAAGTGCCCGCTCTTATAAAGAAGAACGAAAATCTCGCCCGGCTTGACGATTGTTTTGCGAAGTTCAGCGGCGGCAGCCTTCGCAGTTGTGTGATGCTCCCGTTGCTCCGCTGTTCTAGATCTCACAAATACGTATACGTCGATGTATTTGTGTGTTTTAGTTACATTGAGTTCAGTGGCAATTTTTCTCAATGACAATTTTAAGATGTGTTGTGATTGGTATTATATGTCTGTTTTTATTTTGTTCTGTCAATCCAAAAAAATACCACAAATTGTTCTAATTGGGCATGGTCAAGGATGAATGAATGAAAATTGTTCTTCTTTCACGGCATAAATAGTTAGACTATGAGACTTTTCACGTTTTTGGCCATTTTAAAGTACGTTGGCCTCCCCCCTGCCCCCATGATCAATGTTGGAAAAAGTGGGTTGAATCTCTTTTCAGACATTCACACAACATTGAATTGGGGGTGAGGGGGCATTTATGCGGTTGTCTCAATAATCTTTGCTCCTGACTAGGTCAATAATTCTGCCGAATCTTGAACTCCTTTTTTACGGAAATGGGTTAAACCTAATCTTGTTCATACATTTAGTGTCTGCGCACTGTCTGCTTGTCCGTGTTACGAAATTACAACTGTGTCATACAATGTATATGCATGTGCCACTAGCAAGTACATTATCAACAGCCGAAAACCACACACTGTTTTCAAATTGCTTCATTGTAATGGTCCTTAAAATCTAGCTAAGCGAATTTTCAATTGTTTTGAAGGAATTGGCCGAGCAACAGTCAAGTTGTTGGCGAAATGTGGAGCAAGTATTGTGGCACTTTCAAGAACAAAAAGTGATTTAGATTCTTTACAGGACGAGGTTGGTCTTTTTTCAAAACCAGATGGCATACCGGCATACTAAATTAATAAGTGACAATTTTTTTATTAACGTATACTTTACAATCATATTATATAAAAAAGCACATACAGCTATGATTAAGGATTGGCCAACAGAACTAGGATCCCATACTAAAGGGCGGACCATTAGAAAAGTGATGGGGGCAAAATAAAAATCGAGCAGGCGAAAAAGAAAGAAAAAGAAATTCGTGCACAGAAAAAGTTAGAAAAAAAATTCGTGCAGAGACTTTTCAATAGGGAAAATTATAAGTTGAAATAAAAACAAATTCGTGCAAGGAATTATACATGATTTAAAAAAATTATCGACACAAGCAAAAAATTTGTGAAAAAATATTCGTACAAGTTGAAAAAGCCCCCCCCCCCCTCCCCATCACTTTTCTAATGGTCCGCCCCTAAGTCCATCTGTAATATAGTACTCCTTCGATGCATAAACACATGTCTAGCTTCTATCTTACAAGTGCGCATGCTCCTAAGGCATGATGTAACTATTACGTCATTACATCCCTTTAAACCTTTAGTTTTTTGCATTCACTATAACTGTTTGTGATTAACTAATATCAACCTGAAAGTTCCTATAATGTCTTATTTTAAAGTTCATTTATGATGACTTCTTAGACAATTAAAGTTCATTATAAATGTTTTACTTATCTGACTGTTTATAGCCAAAGTAGGCTGGTGGTTTTGTTTTCCTTTTCGGGCGTTCATTGGTGTTCTGCTTGCTCGGCTGTTCTTCTTTATCTGCTGGGTTATCTGTTTCACCTTTCTTTTCTTTAAACTTTTTAAAATGTGACGAGTTCCGAGTGACTTGGCGATTGTCATTTGACGCTGTAATCATTGATCCTTTCTTCTTAACAATTTGGTATTTCTGATGTTCATAAGGGGTCTGCAATTTACCTTTCTTTGAGTTTCTCAGCAGGACTGCATCACCGACTTTAATTCAGAGGATTTGGCTTTGTTTCGTTGTCAAAGTGGACCTTGTTCTTTTGTCTTGACTTACAGATGCATCAAGTGCTTGTTGATGGTTTGGGTCAGCTGGTGCTACAGTTTGTGACTGGGGTAACTTGACATTTATGGCACGATTGAATAGAAGTTGCAGGAGCCTGGTGGGTTACACTATGGGCGTAGCTCGGTAGTTTCTGAGGAAGGTAAACAGTTTGTTTCCAAGACCTGCCTTCAACTTTGGCAGTTCTAGCTGTTTTCTTTAATGTTCTCTAAATCGTTCGGCTTCTCCGTTTGCCTGAGGCCAATAGGGCGTTATACGCTGATGTTGGAAACCAAGATAATTAGCAAACTGTTTGAATTCTGTACTATTAAATGGGGCGCCATTGTCCGATTTAACTGTTCTGGGAATTCGTGAGTAGCAAAGATTTTGTCAAGACAGGGAATAACAGTTGTATGGGCTATGTTCTAATAATATCTACTTCGGGGTATCGTGAGTAGTCATCAATCAGTACAAGTAAGTACTCACCACTGGGAAACGGGCCGCAAAAATCAATTGATACACTTTCCCATGGATTCTTGCTAGCTTCAGGCATACGTAATGGTTCAATGTTGCTTGTGTTTGTTGTGACTTGGCAAGCTAAGCACAGCTAACCTTTTCTTCCACTTGTTTATCAATGGTCGGAAACCAGACCTTCTCACGTAAGAGTTTTTTTCCGTGATATGCCTTGATGGCCTTCGTGTGCGAGGTCTATCACATGGTTTGAAGTTTACTTGGTATGACTATACGGGTACCACGTAGGAGGAGACTTTGATCACTGTTAACTGACAGTTCGTTTTGGATGTGAAAAAAACATTCTACCGACTTCGATCAACAGAGGTTGGAGTTTCGCATTATGCCACTGTTTGGTTTGAATTGCTTGAATGACAGCTTGAATGTGGTATCGCTTTTGTGGCTTCTTTGATTTCTTCCAGCGTAAGGGCCTTGGAACAGCATGCATTGAAACGAAATTAACATATTCTTCAGCGCATCTCTCCTCATGGCTGGTAGGTGATGATGGCAACGGATGGCGGACATAAAGTCGGCTGGATTGTCAGAACCGGTTGATACTGAACATTGAAACGATATGGTTGTACCTTTAATAACCATCGTCAATACGAGCAGGTGGTTTGCTTTGTGGTCGTTGAAAAGACGTTTCAACCAAAATTTGGTGCTTTTGTTCGTATTTTCATTTAGTTCTTTTGTTAAAGCAACATTTGGTGCTTTTGTTCGTATTTTCATCTAGTTCCTCTAGGAAAATTCATTTCACATTTGTATTTTGTTAAATACCTTTCCGCCATGTTGTTTGTTTGGTGAAAATCATTAATTGTACTGCAGTACAATTAATGAAATAATTATACTCCTCTCAACCAATCAGCATCCAGTAATTTTGTCATGCTAATAATAAATATAATAAAAGAAGCATATATATAATAAAAGAAGCATAAGTATAATAAAAGAAGCATAATGATTTTTTTAATAATAAATATTAAAAGTCGAATTTAGAAACCTTAATTTTCCACGATATTGCTTAAATTAATTAATAATTAGTATACGTGCTTATTCCACTTCAAGTCACTTGTATAAGTTACTCTCAGTGTCATACACAATACTTTCGAGGATTTTACAATTTCAACTGGCTCCCGGTTTATATTTAGGGGTTCATCCGTAAATGGTAGGGAGTAAAATTTATCCTTAGTTCTTTGCATTTACCAAGGTTAAGTTGAAATTTATTATCATTTAAACATTTCTGAACTCCGTTTACTTTATCTGGCAGGAAGCTAACAGCATTTTGCGATAACTTTGGAAACTGAAGTATTGCCCGCAAATTTCATTAGGTCACTAGTCATTTATCATTTCCAGGTAAAGAAAAGGACAAATGTTTGTTCCCTGTGATACCAGCGAATGCAATATGTGGAAGAACTACGAAAATAACATGGCACCGCCTTGGGCCGTGTTTCCAGCAAATGGCAGGTTTAAAGGAAACAACTTTATAATATAAAAGAAAAAATATAGAAAAACAGCACCGAATATGATCCTTTTCAGGAAAGTTCAGAACCTATATGTACTGTCCATTTATGAACAAATAAAAACATTGTTAGTGTGGTCGCGGCAACCATGACGTTTATTGCACTTTTGTCTAATTTCACAATAGTCTGCGCAGCAGCTATCAGAGATCGGAAAGGACAGCCTACGGCCCTACACGAAACCCAATGCTTTGAAGCTAATTGATGCTAAAATTATCAACGTACCATTCTCGTACCCAGAGCCTTTCTTACGCGCGGCGCGACGAGGGGCTCTGGCCAAATCCATAACCGGATACCATGAAAACATGGTAAGAAAACAATATCTTGTGCTAGAACTAGCCAATTAGATGCCAGTTCGGATATGGATTTGGCAAGAGCCCCTCGTCGCACCGCGCGTAAAAAGGGCTCTGGGTACGAGATTGTAACGTACAAACACGGCGGATGCATAATTACAGTATTGAGAGGTGTTTCTTCTAAAGAGCTTTAGGGCCACGATTTACAGTTACACAAAACAGGTGTTTACGAACTTTGTTCATGAAGCTCTAGAGATATTGGCTGTGGTGTCTTCGTTGGATTGCTGTCTGTTAGCAGCGTCTTCACGAGGGTGTTCGCTTTCATCGACGACAAATAGATTTCAGTTTTCTTCATGATTTTGTACCTAATAATTTTGTGCCAGGAGAGAATTGCTGTAAATGCTTATGTCCAGTGGCGGAAATCTCGGTGAGACAGGGGGGCGACCGCCCCTACCCCCCTCCTTTACGGAAATTGATGAATTTTCGGCAATTTTGAGGGCTAAAAACAGCCTTTTCGAATGCAATTGGGGGGGGGGGATTTGTCGGAAATTTGAAAGTTTTGTCGGAAATGTAGGAGGTTTTGCCCCACGCCCACCGGAAAAGTGAATTTCCGCCACTGCTTATGTCTTATGAACAGGACTTGCTCTCTCTGGCGTGATGGCTTCAGGCACATTTCTTTCCTTCATTATATTTGTGACGACGATAGAGATTGCCCTACATCCGTATATTATTTCGTTTTGAAATTTGCAAACATAAAGCAATCTGTATTACTTCATTTTGACAAGTAATTTGTAAACGTAAACAATTGGTGTGATTGGCCAATTTTAACATCCGTTGAAAGTGGGCGTAGCCCGCATGCTAAGTGGGCGGAAGTGGCAAAACAGTAGATCTCGTCCAGGCTCTTCTCTCCTCTCTCTGAGAGCCACTACGCAGGCTAATTTCACAATAAATTTTAACAGTTAGTATCTTTACTCCCCTTCGGTGAATTTTTATGGTTCATGATGGAAAAAACGTCAAAATTTGTAGGGAGGTTTACAAATAAGTTTTCCAGATATTCGTGAACGACGATTGCAGAGAAAATTATTTGTAGAATTTCGAAAAATTTGCTCCACTCCTCTTGTATAACAAAAATACAAAGTTTAAATTCAAGGAAGAAAACACGAGGAAATCATCACGCTACGAAATCTGCGCGGCCAGGATGGTGCTGACGTCAAAAACAATCGATTTCACATGAGTACAATTTCCGCGAGCGTGTAAATGTCTCTGATTTATGTGACATCAAAATAAAAGATTAATGTTGAAAAATACTAACAATAAAAACACTATTACGCATTGTGTTAATCCATTGTTACTTTAAATTTTTTTTTTGTTGTTTAAAATCGGTGTGAAAACATTTGAAAACCTTGAAGTACAAGCCCGAACGAATGGATGGGAAAATTCTCGCTAAATTTGATCAATGTCGAGGACGTCTTGTTTGCCGTTGCAAAAACGCAAGGTAGAAAACAACTTTTACTTTCGCGTCGCTTTTAATAATTCATTTCTTCTCAAATTACGATTATGATTGCATGAATTAGCCGTCGTCGTTGGGGACCACAGGTTGAGGTGTTGCACTGCTTCCATAAGATGACTAATTCAAATTCGTATACAGTTCCTAATTCAGACCCAATATACCTGTGCAACTGTATCCGTCTCCTTCGTAACCTGCGTCACATTGACATTTGTAAGCCCCTTCTTTGTATATGCATCCAGCATTCTCATCGCATTTCGAACACTCATCGTCGATCTCAGCGTCATCGCCAACTATGTCGGACACTGAGCCTGCAATGGGAAAGCAGCGATTTATGTTAATTGTGCGACGATTTTCTCATTTTATAACTTATATAACGGACAAAATTAACTGTGTGCATGAAGGGTTACACTTACAAAGTGACTAAAAACTAGCAATGAACAGAACATGACATAATCTGGTTAACCATAGTTTTCTTGGCTTTAAATTAAGGCCGTTGATTTTAACTTCTCCGCACTGTGGTATAAATGTTATGTGCCTGTTACAGGTACGACAATAATTTCGGTGATTTAACGGTATTTAAAATTTTGACTTGGCTTAAAATTAGAGTTTATTAGTTTGTTAGTTTGCTAGTTTTTGTTTAGTTTGTTTGTTTGTTCGGAATCAAACACCTTGAATTGGTATTTATTCAAAAATAATATGTCTTCGCGCATGTGGTGCATTTATGTAATTGCGTATTCATGCACATGCTCAGAAGCTCGAGGGCACTACGATGTACAGTGGTACTATATTTATATGTCTGGTTTATGTATCATTTTTATAATTCTAGCTAGTGACTAATAAATAGCCAGCAATTTAGTAAACTGCCGGCGGTATAATCACTCCAGTTAATTTAAGTTCAATTTCATAAAATAGACTAAACCCAAACCCAAACCCTTTAATAAGACTGTTATACGTTACTTACCGGCTATACGAGGTCTGGATGAGAAAAAGTCTCGAAAACGGCCAGACCCAAACGGCGACGACGTTTTCAAGACCGAGGGCAAAATTTTTCCTCATCCGGCCAACGCTGCCGGTAAATAGCGTGTTTATTTTTTAGCAGATACATATAAAACATGATACATTTTTTTAGAAAACGTTTGAAAAAAAACATAGAAATTAAAAGTTAAGCCTTGCGCTTTGGCGTGGTTGTCCAGTGTTTGGCTTAGAAACGACATGTTCGTGCTCACTATTTCTGGCACTTCCTTTACCGATCAAAGTTTAAACCGCATAAAAGTTAATCTGTTGTTATTTAAATCACGATATAATTCTACTAAAAGGACATTAAAGAAGGTTTTTCCCGGGTCGAACGAGAAGAACCAGTCCGCTCTGAAAGACTCCGCAGGCAATCAGACTTTTTTGTTTTCACTTCTAAGAAACAAATAACAATAATATTTTTAATTAAGCATTAAACTTACTGCACCTTCACAACTTCCTTCGGTAGCATCACAGGTTTCTGTTGCCTGGTGGGGGAGTGATGAAACAATGCGCAGTATACCTGAAACGGAAAATCTTCTGTGTTAATAAACCCTAGTGCCAGAAACACAAACACATGCGGCAAAAACGTACTTACTGTAAAGCAAAATGCTGTCCGTTTCTGCTCAAGAAAGCTCGATGGCTTAATGAAATATTAATCTGTTATGGATTGGTGATTAGTTAATCCGTAGTTCACGTATTGCAATTTAGCATAAAGAAATACATATCCATCAAAAATTGAATAGCTTTTCAGAATACATCCTTTGTCATGGCAAAACTCGATTAATTGAAATTTAAACTCAAATATATAAACAGAATAATTTTTTGTCCAACTTGTCCCGGCCCGGAAATGTCCGGTTTACTTGTTACACAGGATATTAATAAGTTAATGTGAAAATATGAAGATAAAAGTATCTTTTAAAAAATAAAACCTCTCAAACCTCGATTTGAAAGGCTTTTAAAAACGCTAATCCGTTCGGAACCTACAAATTCGAGGGGTGGTATTTAAGCTTGCGCAAGGCAAAGTTGAAGACCCATATCTTCGCAATCACGCAATTAATCAAAAATCGCCACGAGGAAGTTGAGGAGAATTCTTTTAAGAACAACATATATGAATTTCATGGCAAAAAACAAAAAACCGCTTGCAGAAAAGCTCTGAAGTAACCCCATATGTTTGTTTACAAATTTCATGTGATGAAGCGTTTTACGCATTCTGATTGGCTTAGGGCAAAATGTAAACAAAAGCGCTGATTGGTCGAGAACGAAATTCCCCCTTGTTATGCCGATGCATTTTTAAACAAGCACAGCGGAAAGGAATGTCAGAAGTAAAAGTCTTCCCCCCCCCAAAAAAAAAGAGCCACCAAAAACAATCAAAATAAGGTCGTTGCCTAAAAGGAAAAGTAAACAAACTTACATACTAACATTGTGGTTGGTGAAATATTCCTTAAGCCTGGTACATACTGGCAATTTTGTTGGCGATTTTGTGATTCTGACGCACACATACGAGTGAACTAGCTCATGAAAGTATAGAGTCGCTTTCCAGAAGTAAACAATTCTAAGTCTTTTGCATGTCATTCATTCGATCACATTTGCCAGGAGGAGAAAGATCGACGACAGAATTGCTAGTGTGAACCAGGGGCCGGTTGTATAAAACTCTTAATCACTTTTTTAATCACTATTTTGTAGTTAAATAGTGATTAACTCTTTAATCATTTTTTTACACAACCGGCCCCCAATTAATTAATTAATTAATTAATTAAGTGAATTTAAGATAAGACTAGGAGGGGGCTTCGGCACTTTTACTGTTTTTACAGGTGGGTTAAGTTGCCCTAAAATAGATTTAGTCGTATATGTTTGTAGATAGTTCGACCATGCTAATTTGCCGACGATTGTAACTTCCCCTTCCCTCCACCCACATACAACATGCACACTGACCAAACCTATTATGAAGTAATATTTTGCAACATAATTATTGTCCAAATTCTTCAGAAAGTGCAGGAAATGACATTTCTGAGCCTCAACTATTCAAAATTTTCCGGGGAACATGGCCCGGAACTCCTAAGTTTTCAGCTCTCCTAACTTTAAGAATATCTCCTTACAACACTGCTGTGAGAGTTTGCAGGGGCGGATCTAGGGGTAGTCAGGTTAGTCACGCGACTAACGTAAAAAAAAGGCATATAAAAAAATTTGGACTAAGGTTTTTGAATTTTTTTCCCAGCGCAAACGCTTCTGTTCATTTCTGATCATGCAATCAAAACTACATCACACTCCAGCATATAAACTTCGAAACAGTTTTTGCACATTGAGCCAGCGATTGATTAGTCAAACGATAAGTCAAATAAGCGGTATTGAAATGAGAATTGACTATTCTGCATTTTAGTTCATGTGATTTGATTGGTCAAATTTGCTCAGATTACACATTACAGGCATGTTGACTGGTCAGACCTATTTTGACTAACGATTGCGCAATTTTGACTATTTTGACTAATCCTGCAAATAGATAGCAGCTTCTGATTGGACAATTTGCGCAAAAGAGTTAAAGAACATCTCCTCTGATTGGCCTTCTAATCTTCAATTTGGAAGCATTGTGCACTTGGTAGCTCTGTTGCAGCTCTGTACAATTTTACAAGCGAATTATTTCGCTTAATCTTAGTATATTTGTTGAACTATTTTCGAAATAAAGATTTCGAAAGGGTTATATCGTTATTTGTTACGATAAGGGATGCTCTCTGGTGTTCTGTGGAGAATATTTCAAGCTGATAAATTCGATGGATGCAAGAAAATTGTCTTGGCCGAAACTATGATGTGTTGATTTCTCGTCGTCTAATATATTTTCAAGAGATTACTAAGAGGTGTATGGCAATAAGGTAAAGTGGTTTGAATTTTGAACAATAAATCGTTGAATTGAACGTACGATTTGCATAATTGTGCGAGGTTATAGGTCCAAAGTTTCATATACTGCATACATATTCATTTTATATATGTGTATAAAATTAAAACACCTCAAGTGGCAGAAACTTGATCTCAAATATTTGATCATGTTGGATGAAAAATATTTAATGTGTACATGCTTTATAGAGTATTGATTTACTGATAATAGCTCTACAAATGTACTTTATGAAGATAATAATAATAATATAATCTTTGGTTATATTTTTAGATCTAATGCAACTGGCAATTGCCTGTATAGCACTGTTTCCTAAGCATTGACAGGTACCAATGACCTATAAATTTGACCTTGATAGTTTAAATGTTTACAGTGCAAGTGTGAAAGGTCTATACAGTAGATCACTTTTTATACAGTATAAGCGAAGAAGCACTATGGTTGAAGACTAATTTAGATAAGTAAAGTAATAGTCATTTGTACTGAATCTTTTGTACTTGAATCTACTGTGATTAAAATATGTTTAATTAAAATGCCAGGTAAAATAAACTTGTTTTCAATAAAAGTTGGCTTCCAATGAAGCTGCAGCTTTGAGGCACAATTTCACTTGTGATGTTATACATTTTCATAGTGGACAGTATATAACAAGATGATGAATTTAATTAGATTAGACATAGGTTAGTAATAGGGGGAATGGGGAAGGGGCTAAAGGGAAAAACTGGGCAATTTCACATATTGTCACCCATTTTTAACCAAGCTCCTTTTGCTATGGTGAAAGGTGTGAGGTGGGTTTATGGCACCTTAAAACCAGATTGCTCATTTTAGGTGGTTTTCATTGTCACCCATTTCTAAGTTCTAACCAAACTCCTTTTGCTCTTGAAAAGGTATGAAGGCAAGCAATCTTGTTTTAAGGTGCCAGAAACATGTGCTTGTGTTCAGCTTTTTCAAGGAGCTGTCCTTGTTGGATCATGGTTTACTATTTTTGGTAAATGTGTTTCCTAGGCATGCTGATGAACCAAGGTATACACTGTAGGGCAAAACAGTCTATATAATACTTTATCATATATATGCTGAACATTGGCAGGTACGAAAACTATGTCACTTGCGCATTTGTAGTTTGATAAAATAAAATATCTATACTCCCACAAAAGTTGGACTATCATCGTGACATTGAATGACGTCATGGCAAATGACGTCATCACCTTTTGCGTCATCGATGACGTCATAGATTTTTGACTAACGTGCGAAAAATCCTAGATCCGCCCCTGGAGCCTCCACATGCACTGAAGTCGAGTCGAGACAAATCGATGGCTCCACACTGAAGTCGAGTTGAATGGTTCCACTGAAGTCAAGTCGAGCGAATAGCTTCACTCAAGTCGAGTCAATGACTCCTTTAGAGAGAGTCAATAACTA